TAAAAAACTTTCTATTCAATAAAGGCATTATTCACAAAACTATAATACCCTATGTGCCAAGAAGTAACATTTCTGAACGCTATCTAAGAAACATAAAGGCTATTTTTCAAATATATTTTCACAATTGCCAAGACAAATGGGATTGCAATCTAAGTGAAATTCAATTAGCTTTGAATAGTGCATGTAATGAAGCTACAAAGTTTACTCCACATGAATTGATGTTCAGTTTTAAAATAAACAGTTCACTTTCAAATGTTTGGGGTTTAAATGATGTAATAGAAGAAAAAGTAAATGCAAGAAATTTAGCGGAGAAGTTAAATCAAGCTATTTCAAACAACAAGTCAAGAAACAAGTTAAATACAAATTTGCTTAAGTATAATGAAGAAAATAGTAAATATCCTTTCAAGAAAAACAGTATTGTTTATTTGAAGACATATCATATGAGTAATAAAGTAAAGAAGTTTCAAGGGAAAACAGCACTCAGATTTGAAGGACCCTATAAAATTTTAATTTTTATTTCAGATGTAAGTTGTATTGTTCAAAAATTGAATGACCCTAATATTGTGAAAAGAGTACATGTATCACAATTAAAAGCTGAACAAGGGTAAAATGATAACAGGTAATAGGTAAAAAAAAGGTAAACAAAGGTCTGTTATTTTATGTAAAAGAAAATATTTTTTTAATTTCAGGTTGTTTTATAAGTTAAGATTTTATTTTATTTAATTTCAGTTTGAAATAAGTAGCAGATGGAAAATATACATTGTTTATAGAATTTATAAAATCATTGAAATGTTTATTAATAATGGAGAAAAGTTAAACAGTCAAACAATGTCTTGTAAGCTAAAACCGGTTTTGTACCTTCTATGTAGAATTCCACCAAACTCAAGATGCAAAGGACGACGACCTTGAACCTGAACGAACCACTTTCACTGGACAACACTTGACATGCACTCCAACACTGGAGTAATTATATTTTATTTTTAATTTTGTAATTTTGACACACACTTTGACACACACACAAAACTACACTTGACTGGACAAAACATTTCACTTGTCAAGGTGTGAAATCACTGATCACATGACTTGCATTTTGGGTTGAGAAAGGAATATGGAATTTTATTGTTTGCAAAAATAGTTTTTTTTTTTCACAATGGATTTTGAATTTGTCTGAAAGTAAAATAATGAGTAAATCAATGTCGCAAATGATTAATAGGCTGGTTACTAATTTGTTAATTGATATTTTAAGTGTTTAACGATTTTGTATACTTGTTTTATGTAATGTACGAGATTGGTGGAAAGACAGTTCAACGCAGGCCCTGCTTGCAATACACAAACCAGGGACACACTGACTGACATGAAACGTTTGGGACGAGGGGTCCTGTCTTACACGGAATGTACCGGAGAGGTCTGCCTGTCGTCTGCACCATTGTGTCACACTCCTAGCTGTCGCACCGCGCGTTACCACCAGACACTATCGCATTGCCTTTTATCTCTTATTGTAACCTTTGTTGTTGATTCTAAATGATTTCATTTGTAGATCAAATAATTTGTTTATTTATGTAACAAAAAAGTTAAGTGAGGGAAATTTGTAGCATTTTATATTTGGTATTTTTTGTTACTCTTTAAAACAAATTAAAGTCAGTATTTTCCTTTTTTTTAGCTCTGCTCAGTCATGAAAGATTCAAACATGTTAGTTCAATTTTGTCAGTTAAAACAGAAATTTAAATATTTGCAAGATCCTGTAAGGAAAAGAGACGACAATTTGATTGGCCAGGGTAACTCAGTGATTGTTTGAAGCACATGGTCTTCAGCCAATCACAGGGTTACCTTGGTCAGACAAAACTTAATCACCCTTCTTGTCCGGCCTCAGTTGTGCAAAACCAGTTGATAAGTAAAGTTTAGTTTGTTTGTTCTTTTGGTCAGTTACCCCACGTTTTGGGTAAGTCTCTTAAAATTTTTAAATTTAGTTAGTTTTATTTTAGATTATGTTAACAGATTTCCTCTCTTTTTCAGATTTTGATCAAATCTCAAATCACAAAGTTTCTAATTAATTTTATTTCTTTTAGGGCTCATGATTAAGAAGCAACTAAAAAAAATTTAAATAAAGTCAAGATTTGTTTAAGTATAGTATATCAAGAAGGAATTTTTAAAAGATTAACACTTAATATAATTTTGATGAGCAGAGCTTATTTACAAGAATTTAAGTTGAATGTTATTATAAAAAAAAAAATGAAGATTTTATAATAAAAGTTTTGTTCGATCATTTTCAAGAGGATATTATCTTTACCTGCTTTTGGCATTTAAACAAATTTTACAAGTCAAGACATTAAAATATATTAATACATAAACTAGATCATGTGGGCCTAGTACGCTACAACTTATATATATTGAAATTTTTCCAGAACTTTTAACAAATTTTCGAATCAATTAATTGTAAATGAGTAAAGCAATACATTATGAACATGGTTAAAACAAATTATAGGATGAGATAAAAAGGAATAATTAAATTCACAATCAAAATTAAAATTCTATGTTTATTGTGGTCAGACATTGCAATAGTACAAAGTTGATAATGTGACTTTTAGATTAAATACGAACATACTGCTACAGCTACATACGTATGCAATGCAGCTAAGGAACGCTCAGTATTACATCTGTCATAGCCTATTGTTGAACCGTTAATGTATTGATTCATGATTCATGAGTAATTTGTATTAGGGTCCTAAAGCTAATACACTGAGAGAATCATAGGTATGGCATGTAGTTTGGCAACATAACACGTAATGATTGGTTAAACCAAACCATGCTTCTTACTCAAGAATAAACTCACTACCAATTAATGTCAAAACCACTCAAACACTTGATATTGCAGTTGTGCATTTAAAAAAATACTAGCTTGGCATAACATAGTGCTCGCCTGTGCTAGGCTGCTTATTCGAATTAGATAAATATATTAAGTAGTTGTTACATGGTTAAAATTGGACCAGGTTTCATAGCAAAATACAAACTAATAATATTAGTCTAGTAATTTGTAAGACTAAAATGTTGTTCCATAACAGGAAAATATTAATTTACAAATTACAAGTTGAAATTTACAAAACATTAGAAAGTTTTCACAGTTCTACAAGTCTTTCGTTTCAAAATATTTACTAACGTAATTGTGTGGGGACAAAATACTAGTAAATATTAATAATATTATTACAAAGGTTTTATCTTTGTTTTCTTCTTTGAAATTATTAAATGCATACGGGTTCATTAAAGTCAGTTTTTTTTATTCAAAATAATTGAGTAAACGATGTTAGGTGACCTCTTTTTTAATTGGGAGATTAGGGACCGAGCGTCTTTCTCCTACGTGTCTTCTGATTTTTATCATTTGACTTTTTAATAAAATGATCTTGACTCAAGAAACACATGGTCAGTCTGTAAAGAAGCTAGTAGGTACACATATTTCCCATTGATTCTCGCCCACCTAGCATTCCGCTTTACCTTAAAGTATACACTTAGGTGCGTTTCACTGTCTCAAAGTAAATTATTATAATGACAAACACACTTTTACATTAGCTATTTGGAGAGATATTTGTTTGACCCCGTTATACAGAAGTTTCAGGACTTTGGGATGTGAATCCTCATCCAAATAGAACGTCTTTGGTTTAAATTAAGGCCAAGTTAGTCAGAGTGAAATTAATTTTGCTTTATCTTAAAAAAAAAGTTCTCTTTCAGTTATTTTCTGTCCGATTTTTTTTTATCTTGGCGTCGTTTGATAGGAAATTGAATACGCTAAGTAAAAGTGTCCTTGACATCATTTAATACATTTATCAACTTTCATGGTGTTTAAGTTACAAAAAATGAAACGGTTGCCATTTTGAGATTTCTAATCGTAGAAACTTAATTTATTTGAATAATAGGTCTTGTGTACGTTAACGTGCTTTCCAAGTTTAAGTCCTGAAACGTTTTTTTATGGACGTATATATATAGAATATTGATCTTTAGTTTATATTTGATAAATTGTTACCAACCATATTGAGTTCAAAATATATCAAGCTAAATGGATATTTAAACTTGTCAAAATCGAATGTAAGCTTTTGTATGTCTACACTTTTCAGGCCCTCAACCCAAGTTTGATATATTTAAAAGACATCCAAACGTTAAAGAAAGTATTCAAAGCGACAAGTCCCGATTTACACGTTTCTACATAAGTAATGTAGCTTGAAATGACTTTGAGGCTGCAGTAAAACAGTTATAGTTATTCCCCAACTATGAGTCTAGGTTTGTTGCTAATGCAATGTTATTATGCAGTTAAACTACAAACTTCAACACTAACAGTAACATTTTATAGAAAAAAAAACACGTTACATTCAGTTTAAATGCAATTGGGTAAACCCCTATCCAACTGAGAAGTCTATATGCATAGTAGTTTAAGCCAGATTTCAGGTTTAAGAGTAGGCTCACATTTAATCATTCACCCTAACAAATGTATTTCAAAGTTAAAATACCCCCACCGCTGCAAACCTGTAGACTAAGCGAATTTCCATTTGCCTGATTGGATTTACACTAAAATGTCCCTTTTACTAAAAAACACTCTTACTAGTGATATAATATGTCAGGTATTTACTAAGCAGCTCAAGCACAATACCTACACAACCTAGTGTAAGGCTCAGTTGGGTAAGAGCCCGGCAGCAATCCCATCTTGTCAATCTATATTACTTTCGTCTTCCATTAACTGATCAAATCTTCCACCTGCCTTTTGTTATTCCCATTCAAGATGGAGTGAGCTTTTAGCGTATTTTTTTTCTTGTATTATTTTATAGCCGAAATAATACTATGAAATAGAATTTACTAGTTTATGAATACTTATTACAATTTAACAAAAACTTTGGCGTACATGTCACAATATATTAAAAAACTGCCCTTTTAAGTACAAAGAATTAAAGATATTTTTCAGTTTTCTGTCCTCCTTTACGATTCTTTTTGGAGGTCTTCCAAAGCACGATACCATCCTTTTACAATTTAAAATCTGATTTGTCCTTGTCCAGTTCCATAGATTCATCCTCGACGTTGTCTTTGCTGCTTTCCCAGTTCCCCTCGTCATAATCGGCAGCCTTAATAGCCAAGGTGGTACTTTTGCACCCGAATCTTATTGCTCGCAACTTTTTCTTCGCCTCTAGGTCGCTCATAGTGATGGGGGTCTTGATACACTTTTTCTTTGCCTCTAGGTCAGTGATGGGGGTCTTGATACACTTTTTCTTCGCCTCTAGGTTGCTCATAGTGATTGGGGTCTTGATACACTTTTTCTTCGCCTCTAAGTCGCTCATAGTGATTGGGGTCTTGATACAATTTTTCTTCGCCTCAAGGTCGCTCATAGTGATGGGGGTCTTGATACACTTTTTCTTCGCCTCTAAGTCGCTCATAGTGATTGGGGTCTTGATACACTTTTTCTTCGCCTCAAGGTCGCTCATAGTGATGGGGGTCTTGATACACTTTTTCTTCGTCTCAAGGTCGCTCATAGTGATGGGGGTCTTGATACACTTTTTCTTCGCCTCAAGGTCGCTCATAGTGATGGGGGTCTTGATACACTTTTTCTTCGCCTCAAGGTCGCACATAGTGATGGGGGTCTTGATACACTTTTTCTTCGCCTCAAGGTCGCTCCTAGTGATGGGGGTCTTGATACACTTTTTCTTCGCCTCAAGGTCGCTCCTAGTGATGGGGGTCTTGATACACTTTTTCTTCGCCTCAAGGTCGCACATAGTGATGGGGGTCTTGATACACTTTTTCTTCGCCTCAAGGTCGCACATAGTGATGGGGGTCTTGATACACTTTTTCTTCGCCTCAAGGTCGCACATAGTGATGGGGGTCTTGATACACTTTTTCTTCGCCTCTAGGTCGCTCATAGTGATGGGGGTCTTGATACACTTTTTCTTCGCCTCTGGGTATTGAACTTTTACTTCTTTTAGCCTTTTACTAGCCTTTTACTTCTAACTGTATTGAATGTGCAAGATTTCATGTTGATATCTAAAAATACCTACGCCACAGCAAAATTGAAGACTGAGTTAATTCCCTTTTACCTGATTAGATTTTCCCTAAAATACCTCCCTAATCAAGACTCCCATCACTATAAGCGACCTAGAGGCGAAGAAAAAGTGTATCAAGACACCATCACTATGAGCGACCTTGAGGCGAAGAAAAAGTTGCGAGCAATAAGATTCGGGTGCAAAAGTACCACCTTGGCTATTGAGGCTGCCGATTACGACGAGGGGAACTGGGAAAGCAGCAAAGACAACGTCGAGGATGAATCTATGGAACTGGACAAGGACAAATCAGATTTTAAATTGTAAAAGGATGGTATCGTGTTTTTTAAGACCTCCAAAAAGAATCGTAAAGGAGGACAGAAAACTGAAAAATATCTTTAATTCTTTGTACTTAAAAGGGCAGTTTTTTAATATATTGTGACATGTACGCCAAAGTTTTTGTTAAATTGTAATAAGTATTCATAAACTAGTAAATTCTATTTCATAGTATTATTTCGGCTATAAAATAATACAAGAAAAAAAATACGCTAAAAGCTCACTCCATCTTGAATGGGAATAACAAAAGGCAGGTGGAAGATTTGATCAGTTAATGGAAGACGAAAGTAATATAGATTGACAAGATAGGATTGCTGTCGGGCTCTTACCCAACTGAGCCTTACACTAGGTCATGTAGTTATTGTGCTTGAGCTGCTTAGTAAATACCTGACATATTATATCACTAGTAAGAGTGTTTTTAGTAAAAGGGACATTTTAGTGTAAATCCAATCAGGCAAATGGAAATTCGCTTAGTCTACATTTTTGCAGCGGTGGGGGTATTTTAGTTTTTAAATACATTTGTTAGGATGAATGATTAAATGTGAGCTTACTCTCAAACCTGAAGTCTAGCTTAACCTACTATGCAAATAGACTTCTCAGTTGGATAGGGGTTTACCCAATTGCATTTAAACTGAATGTAACGTGTTTTTTTTCTCTATAAAATGTTACGGTTAGGGTTGAAGTTTGTAGTTTAACTGCATAATAACATAACATTAGCAACAAACCTAGCCTCACAGTTGGGGAATAACTCAATAACTGTTTTACTGCAGCCTCAAAGTCATTTCAAGCTACACTACTTATGTAGAAACGTTTAAATCGGGACTTGTCGCTTTGAATACTTTCTTTAACGTTTGAATGTCTTTTAAAGATATCAAACTTGGGTTTAGGGCCTGAAAAGTGTAGACATACAAGAGCTTACATTCAATTTTGACAAGTTTAAATATCCATTTAGCTTGATATATTTTGAACTCAATATGGTTGGTAACAATTTATCAAATACAAACTAAAGATCAATATCCTATATATACAGGGTGTCCATAAAAAAACTTTTCAGGACTTAAACTTGGAAAGCACGTTAACGTACACAAGATCTATTATTGAAATAATTTAAGTTTCTACGATTAGAAATCTCAAAATGGCAACCGTTTCATTTTTTGTAACGAAAATAACTAGAAAGTTGATAAATGTATTAAATGATGTCAAGGAGACTTGTATTTAGCATATTCAATTTCCTATCAAACGACGCCAAGATCGAAAAAATCGGACAGAAAATATCTGAAAGAGAACGTTTTTTTTAGTTTTAAGATAAAGCAAAATTAATTTCACTCTGACTAACTTGGCCTTAATTTAAACCAAAGACGTTCTATTTGGATGAGGATTCACATCCCAAAGTCCTGAAACTTTTTTATGGATCTGTATAACGGGATCAAACAAATATCTTTCCAAATAGCTAATGGAAAAGTGTGTTTGTCATTATAATAATTTATTTTGAGACGGTGAAACGCACCTAAGTGTATACTTTAAGGTAAAGCGGAATGCTAGGTGGGCGAGAATCAATGGGAAATATGTGTACCTACTAGCTTTTTTACAGACTGACCATGTGTTTCTTGAGTCAAGATCATTTTATTAAAAAGTCAAATGATAAAAAATCAGAAGACAAGTAGGAGAAAGACTCTCAGTGCATAATCTTCCAATTAAAAAAGAGATCACCTAACATTGTTAACACAATTATTTTGAATATAAAAAACCTAACTTTAATAAACCTGTATGCCTCTAGTAATTTCAAAAAAGAAAACATAGATAAAACTTTATAATAATATTATTAATATTTACTAGTATGTTGTCCCAACATAATTATGTTAGTAAATATTATGAAACGAAATGGTTATAGAACTGTGAAAACTTACTAATGTTTTGTAGATTTCAACTTGTAATTTGTAAATTTATATTTTCCTGTTATGGAACAACATTTTAGTCTCACAAATTACTAGACTAATATTATTAGTTTGTATTTTGCTATGAAACCTGGTCCAGTTTTAACCATGTAACAACTGCTTAATATATTTTTCTAATTCGAACAAGCAGCCTAGCACAGGCGAGCACTATGTTATGCCAAGCTAGTATTTTTTTTAAATGCACAACTGCAATATCAAGTGTTTGAGTGGTTTTGACATTAATTAGTAGTGAGTTTATTCTTGAGTAAGAAGCATGGTTTGGTTTAACCAATCATTACGTGTTATGTTGCCAAACTATATGCCATACCTATGAATCTCTCAGTGTATTAGCTTTAGGACCCTAATACAAATTACTCATGAATCATGAATCAATACATCAACTGTTCAACAATAGGCTATGACAGATGTATTACTGAGCGTTCCTTAGCTGCATTGCATACGTATGTAGCTGTAGCTGTATGTTCGTATTTAATCTAAAAGTCACATTATCAACTATGTAGTATTGCTGTGTTTGAACGCAATAAACATCGATTTTTAATTTTGATTGAGGATTTAATTATTCCCCTTTATCGCGTTTTTAAGTTGCTTTCAACCATGTTAAAAAAGTATTGCTTTACTCATTTACAATTAATTCATTCGAACATTTGTTACTTGCTTTACGAAGACATTCCTATTATATAATCGATCATGTGTCTTTTAAGCCTATTTAAACAAACATTTAATTAACGTAAAATATTTTGTTTTCAAATATTCTGGTAAAAAAAAATAATTGTATGCCTAATTTTTAATACAGATCGAAATATTATAAAATCTGGCACGAAAACCTAAATTAATAAATAAATTGTTGTTTTCAGGATTATCAGATGATTATAACTATTGTAAAAGTATTGTAAGTTAAAGTAATATACCTTATTTGACCAAATTACTCCATGTTGATGAGAAAACCCTAAGCTGCAATCTATATTCAACAGTGTAAACAAGTCATAATTCTCGAACCTTATACCTGACCTACTACACTTGGTTTTATCATGGTAAAACACTAATTTGATGCACTGTAGAATCTACAGCACAAACAAGTAAAGTGTCACATACCTTATACCTGACCTACTACACTTGGTGTCATCAGGGTAATACACTAATTTGATGCAATGTAGAATCTACAGCATAAACAAGTAAAGTGTCACGTACCTTATACCTGACCTACTACACTTGGTGTCATCAGAGTAAAACAATATGTTGATGCACTGTAGAATCTACAGCATAAACAAGTAAAGTGTCACGTACCTTATACCTGACCTACTACACTTGGTGTCATCAGAGTAAAACAATATGTTGATGCACCGTAGAATCTACAGCATAAACAAGTATATTGTCTCATACCTTATACCTGACCTACTACACTTCGTTTCATCAGAGTAAACACTATTTTGATGCACTGTAGAATCTACAGCATGAACAAGTAAATTGTCTCATACCTTTTACCTGACCTACTACACTTGGTTTCATCTGAGTAAACACTATTTTGATGCACTGTAGAATCTGCAGCATAAACAAGTAAAGTGTCACGTACCTTATACCTGACCTACTACACTTGGTGTCATCAGGGTAAAACACTAATTTGATGCAATGTAGAATCTACAGCATAAACAAGTAAAGTTTCACGTACCTTATACCTGACCTACTACACTTGGTGTCATCAGAGTAAAACAATATGTTGATGCACTGTAGAATATACAACATAAACAAGTAAATTGTCTCATACCTTATACCTGACCTACTACACTTCGTTTCATCAGAGTAAACACTATTTTGATGCACTGTAGAATCTACAGCATAAACAAGTAAATTGTCTCATACCTTATACCTGACCTACTACACTTGGTTTCATCAGAGTAAACACTATTTTGATGCACTGTAGAATCTACAGCATAAACAAGTAAATTGTCTCATACCTTATACCTGACCTACTACACTTGGTTTCATCAGAGTAAACACTATTTTGATGCACTGTATAATCTGCAGCATAAACAAGTAAAGTGTCACGTACCTTATATCTGACCTACTACACTTGGTTTCATCAGGGTAAAACACTAATTTGATGCACTGTAGAATCTACAGCATAAACAAGTTAAGTGTCACGTACCTTATACCTGACCTACTACACTTGGTTTCATCAGAGTAAACACTATTTTGATGCACTGTAGAATCTACAGCATAAACAAGTAAAGTGTCACGTACCTTATATCTGACCTACTACACTTGGTTTCATCAGAGTAAAACAATAATTTGATGCACTGTAGAATCTACAGCATAAACAAGTAAAGTGTCACGTACCTTATACCTGACCTACTACACTTGGTTTCATCAGAGTAAACACTATTTTGATGCACTGTAGAATCTACAGCATAAACAAGTAAATTGTCTCATACCTTATACCTGACCTACTACACTTGGTTTCATCAGAGTAAACACTATTTTGATGCACTGTATAATCTGCAGCATAAACAAGTAAAGTGTCACGTACCTTATATCTGACCTACTACACTTGGTTTCATCAGGGTAAAACACTAATTTGATGCACTGTAGAATCTA